GAATTACTATGTCTTTATAATAATTTGATAGGCCAGGTTCACTTGTTTTGCTGTTCTTCATCACTAACTTTGTTATTCTTGACCCTTTCGAGAAGGATTTAAGATTTTACCCTACTTGAAATCTACAAAGTTAGCCCATCAAAGCTTCATGGATGATGACAGAAGACATGAGACTCCTCAGTAAGAGACAAAGGACTTTATTAGCCACAGCACAGCAAGTAGTATGATCATGAGCATGTTTGTGTCAATGCCCTTTGCCCACAAATCTCATAGGGGTGATTCATATGGATCCAGATGGATGCTTGCGCACACAGGAGGTTGCATTACAGAGAGGATCCTGAGCTTAGGGAACTTGAATCTTTTACAATAGAGAGTGATCATGCCTGCTTTTAGCTCTAAAGAGAGGCACTATCTCTATCTTCCTTTGTACTATCTCTATCTTCTTTCTTTGCTATACAAACATCCTGTAAAAATAGTTGAGAACAAAAGGTAGTCAGTGTTTCTATTCACAAGATGTCTAGAAACATCAAGGACCCATGGAGAATTGTCTCCCAACTTGTCCCTTGATCTTCTACATATATTCCAAATTTAGCTTGTCATGTACACACACACACACGTGCACACACCTGACTTGTTGGGAATTTGTTTTGAATTGCATTCAGTCTATAGATTGAGGGAAAGTTGACATTCTTATAATATTGAAATCTTCTAATTCATGACCATGGTTTATCTGCATTCATTTAGTTTATCTTAACGTCTCTCAAGAACGTTTCCAAAGAAGTCTAGCACATCTTTTGTTTAGTTTACTACTTAGTGAGATCATATCCTATCTTGGCTCAAATTCCTGCAATGTCTCCCTACTTTACTCAGAATAATACCCGAAGTTCTAGCCATGGCCTACCAGGCTTTTCATGATCTGGTTCCCCATTACCTCTCTGCCTTCATCTCCTCCTACTCTCCATTTTGCTCATTCTGCTTCAGCCACACTGACCTCCTTGCTGTACTTTTAATATGCCAGGCATGCTTCTGCCTTAGGCCTTAGCACTGGCTATTTCCTTTGCCCGTAATGCTTTTCTCCCAGAAATATCTGCCTGGCTAACTACTCTATTTCATCGTTCAAGTGTCACCTTCTCAATGACGCCCATCCTAATACCTATTAAAATTGCAAACTGCCTCTTCCTTCCTGGCATTCTTGATTCTTCTTACCCTGCTCTGCATTTTTTCCTTAGTATTTATCACTTCTAATGTACTATGTAATAGTATGCAACGCTGTCCTGCCAAATATTCTACTATTTGTTTATGTGTTTGTTTGTTAATTATATTTATTATTTATTTCCTCCTCCTCTAACTAAAATGTTAGCTACGTGAGGCAAGGATCTTTGCATTTTTATTTGCTGTTGGATTTCAAATGTGTGCAGTAGTGCTATGCATGTAGCAGGTGCTTAAGAAATATTGTTAAATAAATTAAGTGATTTTTCCTAGGTATGTCATGTCTATTGCTGCTATTATAAATGCTATTTATAAAATTAAAGTTTTTATATGTTTGCTGCTGATATATAGAAATGCAACTCATGTTTAATAGTTATTTTATGTGCAGGAATCTTTCTAAATGCTCTGACTCCCATAACTTATCTATAGATGTGTGTGTTTTTTACACAGAAAATCGCGTCATCTGGGCATAACGGTAGTTTTTTCTTTCTTTCTTTCTCCCTATCTCTATATTTAATATTTCTTTTTCTTGTTTTACTAAGTTTCAGTACAGCGTTTCTAGAATTTGTGACAGCTGGCATCTTGTCTTGTTTCTTGTCTTAACAGGAATGTTTTCATTGTTTTACATGATGCTTATAGTAGGTTTTTTTAGATGATCTTAGTCATCTAAGTCAGATTATGGTCGTGATTTCCTAATATCAAACCAACTGGCATTACTAGGAAAAATCCAATATAGTCATGCTGTATCATCTTTCCTATGCTTTCCTTAATTGATTGGCTATCAGTTTGTTAAGATATTTTGCATCTATTTTTTTTAAAGATTGACACCTGCCCTAACGTCTGTTGCCAATCTTCTTCTTTTTTTTTCTTCTTCTCCCCAAAGCCCCCAGGTACATAGTTGTACATTTTTGTTGTGGCTCCTTCTAGTTGTGGCATGTGGGACGCTGCCTCAGCATGGCTTGATCAGCGGTGCCATGTCCGCGCCCAGGATCTGAACTGGTGAAACCCTGGGCCGCTGAAGCGGAGCGTGTGAACCCAACCACTGGACCATGGGGCCCGCCCCTGCATCTGTTTTCATGACAGAGTTTACCCTGTACTTTTCCTTTCTCATAAAATCTCTGACAGGTTTTGGAATCAAGTTAATAATAGTCTCATGAAATGAGTTGGAAAGTACTTCTTTCCCTTCCACACACTTAAATAGTTTTACAAGATTAGAATAATCTGCATTTTCAATGTTTGTTAAATCTCAGTATAAAAAGGATCTTGGCTTGGAATTTTCTTGTGTGAAGTTTTTAAACTTCTGAGCTAATTCCTTTACTGGTTATAGAATTATTCAGGCTTTATATTTCTTCTTGAGTGAGCTTTGGTAAGTTAGTTTTTTAGAAATTCAGTTTACCTAAGCTGTCAAATTTATTGATGTAAAGTTCACAATATCATTTTATTAATGTCTTAATATCTGTGGCATCTGTAGCTTAATATCCTTTTTTATTCCTAACATTGCTTATGATTTATCTGTTTTTATTTCTGGGCAATTTTACCCAAAGTTTGTAAATATTATGGTTATTGGTTTCCAAAGAATCAATTTTTGACTTTGTTGAGCCTGACTATCATATAAGTGTTTTTTACGTGATTAACTTCTGATGTTGTCAATACTATTTCTTTCTTTCTACCTATTTTGGATATTTTATGCTTTTCCTTCTTGTCTTTTTGGAAGATTAGCCCTGAGCTAACATCTGCCACCAATCCTCCTCTTTTTGCTGAAGAAGACTGGCCCTCAGCTAACATCGTGCCCATCTTCCTCTACTTTGTATGTGGGACGCCTACCACAGCATGGCTTGCCAAGCGGTGCCATGTCTGCATTTGGGATCCGAACCGGTGAACCTTGGGCCGCTGAGGTGGAATGTGCAGACTTAACTGCTGAGCCACCGGGCTGGCCCCGTTTTTCCTTCATTTTTAACCTTGAATGCTTGACTCAATTTTTAGCCTTTTTTCTTTTATAAAATGAATATTTAAGATTCTACATTTTTCTCTACACATTGCTATAGCTGCTGCTCACAAGGTTTTGGTAGGTGGTGCTTTCATTATTGCACAGTTCTAAATACATTCTACTTTTCATCATGAGTTTTTCTTTGCTCATGTGAAATTTAGAAGTATGATGCCTAATTTCAAAACAAATGGAACTATCTTATTTTATTTGGAGGGGAATATTTATTCCATCTTAATTAAGTTGAAGTCAGAAAAATGTGTTCTTTATGATGCCAATCGTTTGAATTTTTTTGAGATCTGATTTATGCCTCAGCATGTGATCAATATTTGTAAATTTCCCATACATGCTTGAGAAGAATATGTATTCTGTAGTGTTCTATATGTGTTCATTAAAATAATTTTTGATTGCATTAAAAAATTTAATATCCTTAACAGCTTCATCTATAAGTTATTGAAAATTATGTGTTAAAATCTTTAAGTAGGATAGTGTGATTGTTAAATTCTCCTTGCAAGTCTTGCAGTTTTTCACTCACATATTTTGATCAGTGTAAATAAACTAAAATTTTTTTATCATCCTAGTGAATTAATTTTTTATCCTGAAATAGTGACTAGACAATTGTTCTAAGAAACAGGGGATGCACCAGTTCCCCAAAGTCAGCTACGTGACATTGTATACAGCTTGTGAGTCACAGTTTTCTTTCATTTTCTCTCACAGTAGGGCAGTATCTAAGACCTTGATCTTTGAAGTGTCTTTGACAGGTTTCCATATCTCATAGCTTCAGGATATTTTGGAATTCTACTAGCCTGATAGTACACTTCATGCGAACAGCAATGAGAATTGCCTAGGTTAAAGAAAGTTATTATATTTCCTTCCAATAAGGACTGGCAAATATTAGCATTTTTCCAAATGGTGGAAATCAGTGTCTTTAGTTTTGTTTGTTAGGATTATTTAGGGATATCCCCTCTGAAGACATGTGAATGGATTAGATACTCTTACAGCATCCAGGTTTTCAAAGACAATTTTGAAAAATGAACTGTAGTTTCACATTCTAAGACACAAAGCTTAGAGTCTCTGTTTTCTCTAAGATCTTTCTCCTTCAGGGGAGACCTCAGTGCTGCATGTGTACCATGTGACTTTGCTCCCCTGGCCATCAGTAAGTGAGGGTTGTGGACTCCTTACCCAAGTGGGGTCAAAGAAAATTGGAATTTGGATTCAAAAGTATTAGACATTACCTCTTGAACTAGAAAGACATGTAAATATGAGAGATGAAGCTAATGTTTGAATTCAGCCATTTCTGTAATGAGTACAGAAAAAGCCATCTGCAAGGTGGAAAGAAGAGGGAAGGAGAATTTAGAGAGGAGAAGAGAAGAGCTAATATGTGGCTATAGGCAGAGAGGAGAAGACTTGGGCCTTGGCGTCAGTATAGTTCCTGGTTTCAGCCTCTTTGATGCCCAGCAGCTTTTCTTGCCCTAAGATTATTTTAGATACTCCCACATCCTTGCAATAAACCCCTCTTTCTGGCTTAAGCTATTTTGAGTGGATTTCTGCCCTTGCTGTTCTGAAATGTTACCGTGCACACCAACTATAGAGGAGTCTTCAGAGCTGTCGGATGATCTTGGAACCATTCCCAGAGCTGTGGTTAGTAGTATCCAAAGCACCTGAAAGGGTTCTTTATAAGGGACAGGTCCCGAATATAAGCTAACAGTTGGGTCTAATGAACTTTGACACCTTGCCACCACCAGTTTGCACTTTTGAGCCTGTGCATTCCAAATAGAAATCATAAAGAACTTTACTATCAACTGAATTCAGTGCTAAGCGGTTTATTGAAAGTTAAAGGAATCAGACATAACCAGGAGAAAACACGTCAGAGTGACATGATAAAAACCATTAGAACCCATATTTTTCTGCATGGAATATTCTGCTGACTGAACCCACAGCGACTTTTTTTTTTTTTTTTAGTTCTACGCTATTTCTCCACAGAAGGAAATCTTCAGAATCGAGAATATATTAGCATTGAAGCACACTCCTAAGTCAAAAAACAGGCTTGGCCCTGGTAAAAAGAAAAGAAGAAACCAATATCATGTCTTTTCAAGAACTGTTTTTTGTTTTTTTTTAAGTGTTACACAGTTTCCAAACTAGCTATGCGCTAGTTTCGAGATCTACCTGTCTATCTGTTTATCTATCTATCAAGATTAAATCAGTTGATTCAGAGATAGGGAAAGCTGCTGTTACGTTAGGTTCCTAGGTGGATACTTTGTTTTCATGTAAGTAATTCTTTGATCGCTCAGAAATTAAGTGATTGAGCTATAAAAATCAAGATATTCCATTGGCAATCTCTTTTCATTTAGCCATTCATGCCTTTCTTTTAATATGTTGGCATTTACCCCATGTCCACTCTTGAATGCAGTATTTCAGAATGGTTAAGAGCACAGAATCCAGAGCCAAAATGCTTGGGATTGACCCAGGCAGGGGTTTTGTGACCTCTTTCTGTGCCTCAGTTTCCTCATCCAGAAAGTTGAGAATAACAATAGACTCTATCACATAAGTTTGCCATCAGGAGCAAATGATTTAACACACAAAAAGCACGTGAATAGTGCCTGGCACAAAGCAAGCACTAAATAAGTGTTAGCCTTGATGACCATCTCTTGAGGAATTGGTGTCCTCTGTGGACAGGCTTGAGAACAGTCTGACAATTTCACCAACACTAACTTGGAGTGAACAGTATGTTGGCTACTCACCTTCCATCTCCTCCGCCATGTACGTTGGAACCCCTCTGCACATGCCAGAGATGGATTGTCCAAACTGGTCGAGGTCACTGACTTTGTGGGGGTTGATTGAGTATATCAGGCTCTTGGGAGGTGGTCCCCCTGGTCCTTTACCCTGAAGCTGAGTGTGGAGAAGATAGGTGGAAAGAAAGAGAGACAATGAATGCAAGCCTAGTGGTTTGTTGAATTGAGGGTTAGGTACAAGGCCAATAGGGGTATTGCTTGGCTACAATTTTTCCATAATCAAAATGAAGAGCCAATTCTAACCCTGTATATCTCAGAATTTCTAAGGTCTTAAAGGTTTTAGCTGGTTTGAAACCTCAACTTCTCAGAAAGCAGAAGTGTGAGGCTGTTTATTCTGAAGCTTGGACCTCATTTGGTTATCATGTATTTCTTGGATTGAGCTGTATGACAATCAGCTTCCGAGAATGCAGTTTATTTATTTTCTCTACCTTGTCAACAAAAGGTACCCATTTATTGGTTATAAGAATATGAACTCAGGTAAACATTTTAAAGAACCATGGATCTCCTCTCTTCACCTACTCCAACTAGGGTTGCCAGATAAAATACGGGACACTCAGTTAAATTTGACTTCAGATAAACAACAAATCATTTCTTATTGTAAGTATGTCCCAAATATTGCATAGGCCATACTTATGCTCAAACAAATTCATCATTTATCTGAAATTCAAACTTAACTGGGTATCCTCTATTTTTATTTGCTAAATCTAACAACCCTAACCTGACTCTTGCCAAAAAATGTCCTTGAAGAAGAGCTGAGGGCTCCCATTAGATGAGCAGAGCTTCACTCCTCTAACAGTAAAGATTATTAGGCGTTCTGTTCAGCCTCTGTAGAGGCAGGTGTCAGTCATAGCATTTAAGTGTGATGGCAGCTGCCTCTCCTTGGTAAATCACCATTTCCTCTTCTCTTTTTGTGCTGCACACTACAACATACTATGGTTAAAGAGGGAACAATTGTGACTGCCTCATTCTTTACTGGAGATCATAAGACCTTCCTCAAGCGAAAATAAAAAGATTTTTATTTTTACCTTCTTTTCCTTGACCAGTGCCTCAAGGGCTTGAAGAGAGGGCACGACATCTTTGTTTATTCTGTGCACAACGCATGCCTTCTTGTGAAAGATTCTAGTTGCAGCAAAGTTCTGTTAAAGAAGAAGGTAGATGCTGAAGAGCACGTTCTCCAAAGAGCTTTTCTCATCAGAAATCAATTTCAGCAGCACAGGGAAATGGACTCCAAGATCATGATGAACTGGAATAAGAGCACTGGATCTGGCCCTGATTTGCAATCATATCTGTTGCTAACATTTGTAAGGATAGACTACAAAGCCTTTGAGGGCAGAGACTGTCTAACTCGTTGCTTTATCTTCAGGTTATAGCACGGTAAGAGTCACTCTACATATGTCTGTTTTGCTGAAATAAACTTTGAATTGCTATCACATTTTAATCTCTTTTGATTTTTACAACGTTTCAAGGCAGGTAAGACAGGAATTAGTTTTCTAATTGGTCAGACAATAAAAGTGAAGAATAAAGAGTTGGTATTGTCATTGACATCTGCTTTGGTCCTTTAGTGTTATGGTGAAATGTCAATTTCTGTCTTTGTAGAAGGAAATTGAAGATAGAATGAGATAGGCTATATTTTGGCAACAGTAATATTGAGTAGGTCTTTCATTGTGATCGAAGGCGTCTGCAGCAAGGCAAAAGGATGATCACACCTGTCTAATACTCCTACAGTCTCTTGAACATAGTGGATCCTCATTACCTCTTTCATTGGTCTGAATTTTAACTGATGGTGGAAAACATTAACAGCAGTTATATCTAGGGAGTGAAACTGAGCACTTTTACTTACAATTCTATGCTTATGCGCAGTTAGAATTTATTCTATTTTTTATTTTTTTATGGTTAGCAGGCATTTTTGTTGTTGTTGTTAAAAAGAAACATTATATTTGTAAAGAAGGAAAATTGCATGTTGACTACCTACACTGTTGTAATCCCAGATGGAATTCCAGGAGTTCCATCCATTGTCATTGTCAACATTGGCCACGTTATGTTCATTGTTGACACTCACTGACTGCTGCCCACTTCCATTACTGTTGCCGTCATCATTGATGTTGATATTCTGAAATTTATAAGAAATTGACAATGATTTAATACCACATTTCTTTGCAAATGTATTTTGGTAACACACTTTAAAAAGTGAGACTTACATAGTTAGCAAAGGCAGGAGTCAGGAAGACACCAAGAAGTCCAGCAAAGACAATCTGAAATCACAAATAACATTGGCCTATAACACGTGGCAAAACAATGTCCTCTTCTTTCTTTTTCTATCCACTCATATGAAAAATATTTACTAATTTTACCACTCAGTTGAGTGGTCTGTTTTTTCTTCTTTGACCTTGTATTTCTTAACCATAGAAAGCTTTAATGTATTTTTTTAACCAAAGAAAATTTTAATGATAATGTAGACTTGTAGGTTAATTTCTTACGGTAGTTATGTTACTGTGATATATAGTATTAGAATTTTTTAACATAGGTCTTATGAAAAAACTGATGAAATGTCAGTATATTGAAAAACAAATTTGAAAATGAACATGTGTGATATGAAAATGGTTATGAGTCCTGAGAATCACATCTTAAAATGATTTAAATTAATTTTCCTATTCCATCTGAGATGCTTTCCTTTCTTCCTAGACCTCCTAATAGCAGAAAGACTCTTTTTACTTAAAAGAACTTTTTAAAGCAATGGATTAGTAAATAAGTTTGATGCTGATGATAAGAGACCAAGGATGTAGCGTCTGGCTGTGAAGTGTGGATAGCAGAAGGGAAGTCAATAATTGTCTTGGGATGGTTTACTCATTTGTCATTGGGTGCATGATATTGGTTATCAGAACACAGAGCTTTACACAGGGTGCCCGATTCTGAGTGCCTATTCTCATTTCCTTTGCCTAGGACAAGACGGTTTGAGAACCACACTGATGATTCAAGGTAATTTTTTAATTTGTTTAATTTTCTCCTGGTAACTCAAGAAGGTGGTAAAAATGAGCCTCCTTAACAGTCAAAGGTGGAAGAAATTTTAGAGACCTACTCATACAATGCAATCCTTTCATAGATAAGGAAATGGAGCTGCAGAGGTTAAATACCTTGACCAAGGTCGTATCTCTCGTTCATGGCAGAACTAGGAGACAAACCAGATCTGACCCACTTCTGGAGTCCCTTTTTTTTTGTTTTTTTAACTTTGCTGTTATTAGAACTTACTTTTAGATAATTATTTTATACTTGCAATTCCATTATGAAGCAGAATCTGCTGTAATATACTTTAGTACGTTGAAAAACAAAAATATTTGTCTGACTCGAACCCCTTTGCATCCTGTTATAAGAGACACATGGTACCACCACTTACTTTGGGAGAATTTTATCATCCACCTGCTACACTCTCAGCCTTTTATCTGGAACCGCAGGTGAGATACTGCCCTAGCTTCATGCTTCAGGTGTTTTCATGAATAAATAACGATGGACAGCGTCCCAGGTAAAACTTTCTTATTGGAGATCCAGTTCACAGCAGAGAATGTGACAGCAAGTCTCTCAACCATTTGTCTTCATAATAAACTTTTTATCTTAACTGAATATATTCAGGATTTTTGGTCAAAAAAGGAATTCAAGAATGTGGGGAAAGATTAAGCATTTTCTAGAGCTTAGGGACTGCTTACTCTTGGCCCAGCCCTGAATTAGTAGATCTGGAAAGTGATTTTATTAAAGATAGCATGGTGTAACCTGCTCAGACAGCTGTCTAATGCCAGGATAACTATCTTTTTCTATAGAGATGCTTATAAATGCCACAATTCCATGAAAAGAAAAGAGATTTTTTTTAAACAAATTTTTCCGTTGTGGTGAGATTGTCATAAGACGCAGACCCCCCTTAGCTCAGAATCCAGTCTCCAAATATAAGTTCATAAATTCAAATGGAAAAGTCTACTCACTGTGAACTTCATCTTGGCTTCACCAAAGCAATGGAGCAGAGGAGAAGGCAGGCATGGACTCAGACGAGAAGCCTTCTCGTATTTGTACTTGACTGGCTTTACTCAAACTAGGCGTGACCAGGTGAGGTCAAAGACTTATCTTTCTCCATTTTCCATATCTGCACCAAGATCCAGCATACCAGGAAGCCTTTTGGAGTATCTACCTGGTTAGCAAGGCACTTTGACATGGAGCTGATCTGACTCATCATTTGTTAAAGATGAAGATATCACAATAAACTCATTATGATTTATGATAGCTTCTGGTCCAAATGAAGCTGTGGGTGTGAGTATTTTATATACTGATATATATAGTATATCAATATATAAAGAATAATCCCTGAAATCAAACAAGACCACAGATGAGAAACTGTGGACACACTGGGCCTTACAGATAGCAGCTCCTATGAGAAGATAGAAGTGGTTTCCTCATCATGTCTTTCCCTGAGCCCATTGTAATGGTTTTGGTTAGGCTAAACATGTTCTATGAGCTGCTCCCACCAAACCTATACCCTTTCTGCAATCCTGAGCTCTCTCAGTCATGGTACTTTACATCGGGTTTGAAAACCTGGGGGCTGTCTTGAGCCCTTTCTTCTCACCACCACATCCAGTTATTTACTAAGTCTTGTCATTTCATCTCAGAATGGCCTCTCACTCTGGCCTTGCCCACAGCTTCTTTCACCTGGACTTTTACAACAGGTGTGTAATTGATTGCTCTGGGTACCAGTCACTCATATTCCAGTGCATTTTCTCCATTTTCCATAAGGTTGTCTTTCTAAAGTACCTATATATAATAAACATGACTCTGTCATGCTTAGAAACTTTCAGTGGCAGCCTACGAGATAAACTTTAAGCTCCTTGGAATGCTATAGGGGGTCCTTTAGAATAAGGTTTCCAAAGCCTCCCTAGCTGTGTCTGTGCCCTATACCTACATTCCAGCTACACCAGAGTTCCCACTGTTCCTGGAACATTCAGGATGTTTCATGCCTCAGTGCCTTTGCACATGTTGTTCTCCCCCACTGGAGTGCCAACCTCTTCCCTTTCTCTAATTGGTAAACTGCTTTTCATTTTTCAAGGCTCAGCTCAAATACCACTGCCTCCATCACGTTTTCCCCGTATCCCAGGGGGAACTTTTTTTCCCCAGAGCTATAAAAGAAATTTCTGTCCTTTTATTTGCTTCTAGAAAATTTAATCTTTAGAAATTATGTTAAAATAATTTTAAAAAGTGTTTTCATCAGAGGCAGAGACTAGATACTGTTCACTTGGGCAAACAAGTAAAAATGCTCATAACCGTCTTGGATGTGAATTAAAGTTTGAATTTTTTCCCCGCTCTCTCCTACAAACTAAGGCCAGTAAATCAAAATGCTGAAGAAGAAAACAGTATCCCATTAATCACCGATCTATAAATTTCCCCTTCAGAAACCTTCCTGAGTCCATGATTGTCCTTTTATTCATGGATTAGAATCACAGGATGGGTTACACGGTTATAAAGCTTGATTCACTATCAACATCCCTTTCAAAATGTCATGTGGATTGATTTGTAGAGCTGTGGTAAGATTTTGTTTATGTTTTTAATGTGTGCACTCATTTCTTTCAAGCTTACTCTTTAGCTGCAAAAGATCAGTAAGACTGGAGTGGGGGCAGACACGTGTGAAGAGGTCTTCACCCACTCTAGGAACTGCCACATCACTGCGAAGTCAGAGTGGACAGCGTGATGCCTTCAGACTCACAAAGGGTGGTCACTTTGGTACATGGGTGCAGTGCTTAGCATGCTTTTTGCGTGGCATCCCTCACCAAGGACTTGAGGTTGACATTTTTTCCAGTGGGCCTGTGAAAAGCTGGTCTGGAAGATGCTCCATGACAAATAAATAGATATAGAAGTAGATAGATAGATAGGTAGGTAGGTAGAGTTTGGGGTCCAATAATCCCCCTCTTAGAGATTGACAATTCACTTTCACATATCAAATGTGCTAAGAAATCTATAGGGGAGAAATCTATGTCACATTGCTTCATCCAGATTCTCCTAAACGTAATTTATCATAGAACCCAGTTGTTTTTCTTTTGTCTTTTGTTGATTTATTTTTCCGAACACCTATTAATGTCCCAGGGGGTCACCTTCCTTAGGAAAACAACAATCGTGCTGCCTCTGAGGATGCACCTTGGATTCGAAAAAATTCCTCTTCTATGTGATATTGTTATTTCCATGGCTCACCAAATCAGAAGAACCTCTTCCTCTGTACTTCGTGTGGTATGTATGAATGTGTGTGTACATGTTTGTGGGGGTCAACCCTAGTCTCACCCAAGGCCAAAATTCCTAAGGAAGCCTGAGTAAATCTCCTCTCCCTCCCAGCCTGAGAGCTAGGTTTTATATGTTTCTTGTCCTCCCATGGAGAAAGACAGAACATGTCAATGTTTTCTTGTCACCTCCACAAAATATACCGGCGCGTATATGATGCTTGATAAGACCATTTAAAAATTAGAATTGCGTAAAGGGTATGTTCAAGCCAGAGGATAAAAAATGCATTATATTTATCATTTCTGATATTTGGAGCCAGCTGGAGAGGTGCTGCCCTACCTTGGCTATGGTGACACACCAAGGAAGCCCCAGGAGATGGTGTGGCCCCAGTGCCCTGGGATTGGTGTGGGGCAGACTAGCCCATAAGTAAACAGGGCCTGCCCTGCACACGGAGCTTGGTGCTGGGCCATGCCAAGATCCAAGCCCTATCAGCATTTTATCTCAGAGTGCACACAAGGCCTCGCTTCACCCCACACCCTGTCGTGTGGAGCCTGGTGGGAACTCCCTCTGTGTGGAGCAAAGGGAGGGGATGAGGGGATGCAATCCACATCCTATGTGCTCGTACATTCGATCTGCAAGGGCTTTCCCTCCAGCTTTTCCACAGAAATCAAACTTTCATTTTCCTTCTTTTACTCTGATTGGAATGTTTACTTACAGGGCATGTTTTCATCATCAAATATCCTCATTCAAGATTCTCTCTCCTGTATAGACGTGTTAATGGGCTGACCTCCAGTCATTAACACCTGTGAAGCCTTTAGTAATCTCATCTTCCCTTTAATTATTGCCCCATTTTCTGATATTTAGGACTCAACTGGCCTTTAGCCTGTTTGACCTCACACTGTAATTTATTTGCGTGAGTGTGGAAGCCTCTTCATGCAGAGATTCTGTCTCAGTCTCTTTGCCTTTATTGTTGTTTTTCTGAGCATCCTATGCACCACTTGGATATTCTTTGTGACAGTCTAGCGTCAGATGGTTCATTGTGAGGTCTGAACACACTTCATCACCCTGGAGGGAAGCTTCTGGCCCCTCCCATGGTCTTGCTTGACCGACCTGCAGCTGAGACTCTAGCTATGGTTCCTGAGGCCCCAGGCCTTATGGCAGTGATGCACTCATATTAAATCTTCCATATGTGCTTGTGGCCAGGAATGACACATCTGAAAAATAGCAACAGGGACATATAAAATAACAGTTTAATAATTATTGCTGGAAAGCTTCTAATTCTGGAAAATCCATGCTTATTACATAGTTGTTTTTGTATAGGAAAGAAATTCTTTTCAAATTACGGCAAAGTGGAGGAAGCATCACAGAGCCCTTGCTTTTTGTTGTTTCCTCTGGGACCACTGCCTTCCAAAATATATATAACTCTGCCTTTCTGTTGCTGCTGGTATGTCTGTCCAATTGCATTTGCCAAACCTTCTGAATCCCCTCAGAGGCAACCAATGATATATTATGCTCAGATTGGTTGTTAACCTTGAGAATTAGTGTTGTAAACAGAGTTTGGAAAAGTCTTGCTAAAGGTCTCCTGAGTGATGCCATCATTTGTATAAAATATGTGAAAGTAGAGATAAAGAGAATATCGATTAGTAACTGTATTTTTCATCATCATGAAGAAGTACTTAATGGTTAAGTATATCATGGTTAAGTACTTCCATTCTGAAAAGGAGTTGGAGAAAATATGCCCATATGAGGAATAGAAGTCACAAAGTGATAGTAACACGTCGCTTTATAGTTACCTCATAGCTAAGTCAGAAATAATAATGCTTACGCCTTTTGCAGGGTTCATATGGAAGCAATTTGGGGAAAATGGTGTAAAAGCACTAATGCTGAAGGTGTGTTCCTTCAACCACAGCAATCAGGCCAGGAAAGGACAGAACTGCACATTGGAAGATGAAAATCAGATCCCAAGCGATGTGGGTCACAGCGCTGCAGCTGTGTAAGCCACACCTGGAGCCCAGGTCTTGTGAACCCAATGGACACTGAGCTGTCTCCATGACTTCCTTGGCAAAAGACGCCGAAGTAAAGGACTTGCCCCAAGGCCCCTGAACAATGAAACATGATTTCATGAATCATTGCATTTTCTACAGAGTTACTGATCTCAACGGGTTTCCTTTTCTACATCCCAGATAGAAAATATACGCACATGTGTAATCTTTTCACTTCTGGAAGAACACATCCTCAGATGAAGATCTTGGATCGTCAGAGGTGCCTTAGAGAATTTTGAGCTCCCATATTTATTCAATTATGTACTCTTCCTACCCACACCCCCCCACCTCCAATTCCTGGAAATGCTTAATAAAACATCCATTGGAGTGTTTCTTCAGAGGTTCCATTGGGTTTAAATAAAGAACTAACTCCCCTTATCCAGACAAAGAAAGTTTTTCCTTTTGCTGCTCAGGAATGGGTCACCAGGCGTACAATCTTTTACTCATTTTCTCATATTGAAAAATAATCAATTAACAGCAATTTACCATGTTCTGGGGCTAATGCAATGCCCCAGTTAAGCACAAGTGCTACAGAAGATTCAAAGATATAAAACAACCAGTGCTCATACTCAAGATCCTGAAATCTGTGAGAGGCAGGGTTGACTTTATGAACATGTGACCAGTTTTAGTCAGGTCAGGCTCACCCTCAAGTCTCATACTTGAGTTTAATGCTTTGCAGTTGCCATCTTGAAATTCTTAATAGTTTTGTTTTTGAGTTTGTGTTTTGTAAGTGAAGTCTAATGAGACAATGGAGTAGGTGCTGGGGGCTTGAAGCCTTGGCCCATGTGTGGTCCCACCGCCTGCCTCTCCTCACTTCCCTTGATGGACTCTCCAGCA